AGATAGATAGATAGATAGATAGATAAAGGTTGGACCAGATAATCTCTTAATGCTCTACACTTTTATGATTGAGCTCCCAGTTTATCTGACTCCCAGGATCCCCAACACCATTCTATATCACCATAAACACTGGAGGGTTTATTTCTTCAACCTCACCACCTCCAAGATCTTGAATTTCTAAATCTCCACCTATGATCACAACCTCCTAACCTTCCATCTTTCCCCTCGTCTCACTCCTCCTAAAGGAGCTCCTTCAGTCTCTCCCCATTGTGTTGTTTCACCATCCTGGTCATCTTCTTCTCCAGCCTGTCAATATTATTCCCAAAGTGTGGTGCCCAGAATTAAACACAGTACTTCTGAATTTAAAGTAAATCTGAATTTAAGGCTCTGCTCCCCCTGGATTCCCAATAATAACTGTTGGACTGGTTTACAGATGTGGGCACATGATTCCCTCTTCTTCTATCCTGGAGCAAATAGCCCTTGTCATTCGGCCACCTCTTCCTCCATGGGGAACAACAGATGACCATGGAAGGCTTGGCCAACCTCTTGGTGTCTCATCAGGAAGATTTTCAGATTAAGGAGAAAGGTGGTGCCATAAATTCACTTACAACCAAACTAACAAAATTTTATTAAGCACATACTATATGTAAGACACAGTGCTAAGCACCAGGGATACCACAACAAAAATTCTAGTCCCAACCCTCGAGGAGCTTACAATCTACTTGGAATACAACATGGACACAAAAAAAATAAATTCAAGGTGGTTTAAGAAGGATGAGAGCAGTGACAATGGAACAACCAAGGAAGACTTCATAGAGGAGGTGATACATGAGCTAAGCCTTGAATGATAATAAGGATTCTGAGAGTGAATGGTGAGAAGCTGTTGCATTCCCGACATGAGAAAACCCTGTGCAAAGACCCAGCAATGTGAGATAGAAGGATAAGTTTGGGGAAGAGGCCAGTGGCCTAATTTAGTTAATAGCCAAATAATAATAATAAATTATATAATTATAAAATAATAAATAATAGCTAATGTTAATTTAGCAGAGGTGTCAAACATACTGCCTGTAAGTGAATACACCCAGTGCAGCCTGAACAATATGAAAATGTAATTGGGAAATATTTAACAAAGTAAATAAAAATACAATAGAACATAGATAACGTTACTATGTGGTTTTCTAAGTCAATACGCCCTAGAATTTAGCGGTCTCATTTCTATTTGAGCTTGACATCAGTGACAGAGCATATAGAGAAAAACGAAATTAATAGCCTAGAAAGGCAAATTGCAGCCAGGTGTGAAAGGTTTTAAATGCCAAGTGAAAGAGTTTGTATTTGATCCTAGAAGTAATAGGAAGGTACAGGAACTGTTTGAAGGGGGAAGGGCAACTGAGTCTGACCTGTGTTTTAGGGATATACCTTTAGCAGCCATGTGAAGTATGGATTAAAGGATGAGAGTCTTAAGGCAAGAGGTCTACCTACTATTACAACACGGACTCAAGAGGGGATGGGAGCCTGAACTAGGGTAGTGCCTGAGGGAGTAATCAAAAAGAGCCATCTAACACACCAGGCATGCTTCGGGCAGATTAAGCATCACCGGAGCACCGCCCTGAAGCAGGGGAGAATCCCCATGGACCCAGGAGGGTCTGCAAGGAAAACTCACGGAATTCTTCTCCATCACCCCTCAATGTGTCTACACAGTCGTGTTAAATAGCAGCTTTGAGAGGCTCTTGCTCTATGCCCTCTGCCACTTCATGGACCTGGTCTCTGCCAGTTCTGACTTTGAGGACAGATGGCACATGAAGGTGATCAACAAACACACCAACTTCTTGCCTCCGGGAGCAGCTGCTTCTTGCCTAGAGCAGAGGAACTGATAGCATCCCACTTTCCTGCCCACATGAGGCTGGGACACCCTGTCCTCTCATCTCCCTCTGGGGAGGTGAGAGACAGGAAGGACTTGTCTACCCCAGGGCAGCATGGTCTACAAGACTGTTGATTGTCATCATTATTTTTTTTAATCTGCCTTGGACTCTGAAAAAAAGCAGAGGATAGATGTGAGAGACATTTGTTGTTTTGAGTGTAATGTCTACATGTCCCTTCTCCATGTCTGACCCAGACTAGAGACCCCAAATATCTGTGTGTGTGTGCACGTGTGTGTGTAGCAGTATATAGCACTCAGGTCAGCACCAATGGAGAGGGGAGAGAAAAATGCTGAATAAAATTTATATGAAGAGCAAAGAGATAATAGCGATCATGAATATGGAAGTGATGGTGAAGACTGAATGACTGGACGGATGGAAAATTATTTATTACATGCTTGCTGCATTCCATGCACTGTGCTAAGAGCTACAGATACAAGTACGAAAAGAAGACTGTTTCTGCTCTCAAGGGGCTAACGTTTAAATGAGGAAGATGACACAAATAGTCAAGTCAAGTCAAGCAAGGAAAGAAGTTCCATCAATGCATGATACCAAGGATTACAGAATAGAGCACTTTCAAGCATTCCAGCTAGAAAGACCAGAGCTGAACAGAAACTATGAAATATAAATGTAGTAGTGAAGCGAAACCTAGAGGGTTTTGGCTACAAAGAACTTGGAGGCCATCCCTTCCCTCCAGGTTTTCTCCTCTCCGAGAAGGGCAGAGCTCTCAGGAGACCTAAGCCAAACTGGGAAGCAGGGTTAAGGGGCACAATGGATAGAGTGTCAGACCTGGAGTTGGGAGGACCTAATTTCAAATCCAGCCTCAGACACTTACTGTGTGACCCTGGGCAAGTCACTTAACCCTGTTTGCCTAGTTTTCTCCTCTGTAAAATGAGCTGGAGAAGGAAATGGCAAACCATTCCAGTTTCTTAGCCAAATGGGCTCACAAAAAATTGGACATGACTGAACCACAAAAACAGAGTTCATTCATTCCTGAGAAGAGAGTGAAGCTCTCAGCCATAACAGTCATGGTGGGGATGAAAGTGATAGTGGTGGTGATGAGGTTGATACTAATGGTGAGAGGATGATAGTAATGGTGAAGGAGATAGGTTGAGTGTGAGAATGGTATTCATGGTGATGATGAAGACATAAATGATGGTAAAGATAGTAGTGGTGGTAAAAGGTGACAATGGGGATAATGGCGAAGGTGATAGTGAGGACAGTGATAGACAATGACATAGATCATTATGACATTGGTGATTACAATCATGTTGGCAGTGATGGTCATGATCATGAGAGGGTGGTGCTAGTGATAGGGATAGTAATGGCTGGAGAGCTCACGTCTCTGGTGATAGTGATGGATAGTAAAGATAGTGGTGGTGATATTTATGATTCAGATGGTGATGGCTGTTACGTGGTAGTCATGGTCATGGTTGGGCAATGAGAGTGATAGAGATAGTAATGACAAAACCTCCTTAAGTAGGGATCTTGGAACACATAAAGAATACATGTGGTTTAAGGATTTAAAGAGAATGCAGAAAAATACAACCAGCCTGAAAGAGATAAGCCCCAGCCTGAGATCAATCAATTAACTAGCATTTATTAAGTGCTTGCTGTGTGCCAGGCACTGTATTGAGTATTGAGATGCAAAGAAGGGTTTTTAAAAAACCATAATGTCTGACCTCAAGAAGGATAGTCTAAGAGGGAAGACACCATGCAAATGACTATACACAAATAAGTATATACTGGATAAATTGAGGCAGTCTCAGGGGAGAGATAAACCAATTAGAGAAAGAAAAAGGGAGGAGACGTAGAAAAAAATATTTTATTCTGAAGTGATTTTCCCCACATTAAAATTTCCCTCTACTCCATTACAGGAATCATAAGACCCCAGAATAGGGCCTTTCATAGAAATAAGGGGATTAGGGCATTAACAGAGTTAATGGGATGGAGTGGTTTCAAAGGGAACTTTCAGCAGACTATTTAGGAAATACTATAGCCTCTGATAAAAACAGAGGGGCTGGGATAGAGCTCAGGGGAGAAATGGAGGTTAGGATAAGAATGTTCCTTCACCCTAGACCCTAGAGAAGAAAAGAGTCCCTAAAATTCCCTTCTGGTATTCATCACAGTTCTGGGATAGTAATGGAAATGGGGATTACAGGAAGACCATCTGTCCAAGGGGAAAATATTGTAGTTTTTATCTCCGACAAATCTGAGCATCATAGTGGTGGCAGTCCTAGGATCACATATATTGAGCTGAGGGATCATAGAGATCATCCAGTCCAAAGCCCTCATCTTACAAATGAGGAAACAGAGGCCCAGAGAGTTTAAGTGACTTGTCAAGATTCTCACAGGCAATATGTTGGCTGCCTCATAGGCAAACTTGCTGACTCCAAGTCCAGGCTGCTTCTCCAATACTGATGGTGATGGTTTATCTCAGGGGACAAACCCCAAAACACAACTGATAGTTTTCCATTTTACCATGGTGAAGAAGAAACAGGAGGCTAAAACCATGTTCAGTTCTCAAAGGCTTCTTTGGACCTACCTGGGTTTCTAGAAGAGGTGAAATGTACAATCATGGAGGAGAGAGAAGAGGGAGGAGTATTGGAGGAGAAAGAGGGAAAAGGGAGAAGGAAAGGAGGAATAAGATGGGGGGGGAATATTATTAACCCTTCTTCAGAATCCCCATTGGAGGCAACAATCCACAAGAAATGGGCGGGAGGAGAACACACTCTGTCCCTCCCACATTTCTACTAGCCACTGCCCAAGAACCTCTGGAAGTTAGAAGTTTAGAGGAATGAGTCCAGATCTGGTCTGGAGAAGTCAGAATTTATCAGGACATTTTTCATGGACCTGGTGGGATCCACCTCTGACTCCTTGACAAGGCCTTCAGGTTCTTTGACTTCAGTTTCTTCTACCTATCAGGCAAAAAGAAAAAAAAATGGCATGGCTTCTGTCAGTGAAAAGAGCTTGGCACTCATTGAACCAAGATAAAAGCCTCACTTACTTGTTCAACCAGAAAGCTTCACAAAGGTAATGATTCCTCTGCCATAGACTTAGCCCCTAATCAAATCCTGACTTTGTCATTTACTGGCTCAGTTTCCTTGTCTGTAAAATGAGGAGGTGGAATCTATTGATCTCTAAGTTCCCTCTCAGTTCTAAATCTATAATTCCATGGCTTCTCTTCCCCGGAATTTGGGGGAGGGTGGTCATAGGGCTATACAGGCCCCAGCCAGGCTCTCTGGAAAATGGGTTGCCCCAGTACAATAGCACCCAATCAGAATTGAAGCCCTCCTTTAGCTGAATTTGCCCCCAAGCACCAAAATTCCTAGTCATGGTCTTGTGAGATTTAAAGGCTAACCAGTAGAGTCCAAGCTCTGGCAGGCCTTTACCAAGATAGAATGACTTAGAGAACTGCCCCAATGATAGATTAGGACTATTGGCCAGCCTAGCTGAGAATAGAGCAACTCATCACCAACAGAACAGAAAGCAAGTGATAAATTTTTTCTGACCTCGGCAACTGAGGAAATTTTCCTAAAGGGCGATGGTGGGACAGGGAGGGAGTATCTTACTGTATTAGAGAAACAAGGGAAACAGAGGTTTAAAAGTATGGGCTTTGACTGTAGAAATATAGAAATTCTATCTTTTTTATGTATTTATTTTGCATCCTGCTACTTTACTGAAACTATTAAAATCTATTTTTAAAACTATTAAATAAATACTTTCTTTGCTAGTTCTCAAGGGTTTTCTAAGCAAACTACAGAGAAGGATGTTTTTTTTTCTCTTCTTTGTCAATGTTTATGATTTTAAATTCTTGCTCTTGTCTTATTGCTATCATTACCATAATGGTTAGAGAACTGACACAGATGAAGTCCCAGGTCCTCTGGAGCAATTAGTGAGTATAGACTGGACCAGAGGAGAGAGAGGAAAATGGCACACAGTGCCCTCTACCCTACCACCCAGGGCTCTTTTCAAGTGAGGGATACGGGACATGGGCAAAGAGACCAGAGCCTTTCAAACAAGTGCAAACACAACAGTCAAAGCTAATCTATTAAGGGCTGAGGGAACAGATTAGGAAAGCCTGCCTGAAAGGGGTAAAAGACACAGGATGATCAATTAGGAAGCCAGATAAGAGGTACTGAAGGGCTAAATTGGTATGGTGAATGGGGTGTGAGAGAGGATGTGGGAGACATGATGAGATTTGGCAACTGATTGGATATAAGGAGAGTGGGTGGTGAGAAAGAAGGAAAAATTGAGAATGACTCCAAGGGAATAAACAAGGAATAAACAACTCCAGACCCTGGACATGGGTTCTTTTTTGGTGAGGGTCTTGGGTCCTCTATCCAAAATGTGTATACTTAATTTTATCAAGAGTCTTCCTGTCTTCTTTGTTTTCTTCCTGGAGGAGAAATGAAGGCCACTGATGGTGCAATGGATAGAATGCTGGGCTTGGAGTCAGGAAGACCTGAATTTAAATCTGGCCTCAGATACCTACTAGCTGTGTGACCCTGGGCAAGTCACTTAACCTCTGTTTGCCTCAGTTTCCTCAACTAGAAAATGTTGATAATTATAGCACCTACCTCTGAGGATTGTTGTGAGGATTAAATGAGACATCTATAAAAGTGCTTAGCATAGTCCCTGGTACATAGTAGATGTTATATAAATGCTGATTCTCTACTCCCTTCCCCTCCTCCTCTTGCCCTAGCCCTCTCCCCTAACTCCTTGTATCAAATCAACTGACAAGTATGTATCTCCAAGGCTGCCCCCAGGAAAGGGAAACTAGGACAGAGCACATATTGCCAAACTAGAGGAAAAAACAAAGAAGATACCTGGGCTTTCTTGTTCTGGGAAGCCATCTCTACCAGGTTCTCATCTGCATTCAGCTTATAGAAGAGGCTTTTCCTGGTGGAGAAAAAGTGGACAAGGAGACTGCTTTCTACCTTTCTTCTTCCATCATTCCTCCACCTTCCCCAGCCTACCTGAATTCCCATCTTCAACCTGACCAACCCCTATACAGTGAGGAAGAAGTCTCTGGCTCAGGCTCTAACAGGTCAGAGAGGATCATCCCATCCCACAATGCATTCCTCCCAGAGCTGCTCCCTCAGGAAAAGCAGTAGGAAAGAGCTGGAAAGAAGGGATGAAGAACAGGAACTAGCTCTCTTCTTGCCCACTTCCCTTTCCCCATCTTCACTGGAAACTGGGGAAGCAGGAGAAATGTAGGTCGCGTGGTATAATGGAAAGAGAATACTCTTAAACTAAAAAGATTTGGACTGAAGAAGAGGAGGAAAAGAGAATGGGAAGGAGAAGGAGAAGAAAAAAGAGAAGGAGGAAGAGAAGAAAGAAGGAAAAGAAGGAGGAGAAGGAGGAGAAGGAGGAAAAGAAGGGAAGGAGAAGGAGGAAAAGAAGAGGAAGGAGAAGGAGAAGAAAGAAGAAAAGAAGGAGGAGGAGAAGGAGGAGGAGAAGGAGAAGGAGAAGGAGGAGAAGGAGAAGCAGAAGGAGAAGGAGAGGAGAAGAAGAAGAAGAAGAAGAAGAAGAAGAAGAAGAAGAAGAAGAAGAAGAAGAAGGAGGAGGAGGAGAAGGAGGAGGAGGAGGAGGAGAAGGAGGAGGAGGAGAAACCCTTCCAGCCAGCTTTACCTGTTCCAGATGTGAATGGTCCCCAGACCCAAGAGCAACAGTAGGCCGAAGGACAGCGCCATGAAGACAATGAAGAGCAGCTGGTACAGATTCAAGTGGTCAAGAACTGTAAGACCCAAGTGAGAAGCCTCTTAGAAGGCTCGCTGGTTTCTCCACTCCCAGAGCATCTATCTCCATTGCCTGCCTAGGCCATCTTTAGCTGTTCTTGTCATTTAAATCAAGCATTTATTAAGTGCCTACTATAAGTCAGGTGCCGGTACTGGAAAAACAAAGACAAAAGGCAATATACCCTCGCCTTTAAAGAGCTTCAAGGGGGCACAGGATGGAGAGAAAGAACCACAGGTACACACAAAAGTCAACGCAAACTATAGACAAAGCAATGGGAGTGAGGGCTGGGCACTAGCATTGGGGAGATCAGAAAAGCTTCTTATAGGAGATGGCACCTGAGCTGAGCTTTGAAGGAAGCTGGAAGTGAGAAGTGAATGGGGAGGGAGCATATTCCCAGCATGGGGAGTAGTCTTTCCAATGGTACATAGGTGGGAAATGGCATGTTGAGTATAAGGACCAGTGAGTAAGCCAGCTTGGGTCTGGGAGGAAGAACAATGTGCAATAAGACTAGAATTGTAGACTAGTTTGTAAAGGGCTTCAAATGCCAACTAGAGGAGCCCCTGCAGATTGTCCCATAGGCAGTAGGAATCCTGGAACTCTTTAAGAGCTGACATGGTCTGAATGGTGCTTTAGGAATGTCATTTTTGTGGAGAATGTGGGAGGAGAATAGATGTAAAGGGGAGAAACCAGAGGCAGGCAGACCAGTTAGGAAGGAGGCTATTGTAATAATTCAAGTACAAAGTGATGGGGGGAAGAAACAGGAGGAAGAGGAGGAGGAGGGAAAACAAGGGTGGTGGCTCAGTGAGGATAGAGGTGTCCAGTGAAAGAAATGTTATAGAGATGGAGCCAACAAGGCTTGGCAATTACGTGGATGTGTGTAACTAAGGAGAGTGCAGAGTTAGGATGAAATCTTAGCTCAAAATGAACCAGAGTGAAACAGGAAGAATGATGATGCCCTTGAGAGAGATAAAGAAATTAGGGAGAAGGGAAGGTTTAGGGCAAAAGACAATAAGTTCCATTTTGAACATATTAAGTTTTACATATCTTCAAATATCCAGGTGGAGAAACCTAGCGGTAGTTAGAGATGTAAGACTGGAGCTTGGGAGAACAATGATCCTTATCTTCATAGAAATGGTTACACTAACTCTTATCTTTGTGGGGAGATCACTGAGGCAGTGTGTATAAAGAAGAAATGGCAGCCCAGGACAAATCCCTGGGGTATACCCACAACCAGCAGCAGGATATGGGTAATGATCCAGCAGAGAAGACTGAGGAGTAGTGACCAGATAGGTCAAGAGGAGAAGCAAGAGAAAGCAGTGCCATGGAATCAGTACTTCTTAGGTTCAGAGCACTGTGTCGGCCACTGTGGGATCCATGGTCCTGGCCCACGTAGAGCTTACAATCTATTCATCCTGCCCCTACTCAGGACTCTCTGTTGGGTCTAGCTATTTCTCTTATTTTGTCTTTGTTCTAGACTCCATTCTGGTTCTGGCCATTCCCCTGTCTCTTAGAGGTCGGACACATCTCTGTAGGTGGGCATAGTAATCCCGTCTGAATGGTGGTAAATTCATCTGTTTCTACTGAGATTGTAAGATCCTTGAGGCCAGGCACTGTTTTCTTTTTGATTTTGTATCCTCAGTACAAAGCAGTGTTATGCAGATAGTAGGTGCTTAGTAAGCATTTGCTGAATCAAATAGAATTGATGGAATGAGAAAGAACCATCCAAACTGAAAAAAGAAAATTCCATGGCAGACCTGAGAGAGAACTCTCTCTCTCTAAGTGTTGGGAAGCTATAGAATGTGTCATTCGGAGAAAGTTGTGGCATCTCCTCCAGAGATTGTTCCACAGAGACTCACAGAGAGAGACAAAAAGACAAGGTTGTACGATTCCTCCTCAGAGCAGGGGAAGGCACCGAACTCCTTCCTGATCTCTGTAAGGATTCTTTGCTCACCTCTTGTTCCAAAGTACACAGAAGAAGAAGCGGTGCCCAGGGCATTGGATGCCAAGCACACATACTCTCCCTGGTCTTTAGAATTCATATCCTGGATATCCACCCTCAGGGTGTTGTAGGAGGTTGTTACTTGAATGCGAGAATAATGAAGGTTTCCGGGATGGGTAGAAGCAATAAAATGGCTTCCGTGATAAAAGGTCAGCTCAGACCGGGGTTCACTATCCACTTGACAATGCAGGATACCCCAAAGACCAGCCTCCAGCTCTAGAAAGGAGGTCACAGCAGGTGTCCGTGGTGCATCTGCAAAGAAGATCCTGGAGTGAGTCTTAATATTGGAGACATTTAAAAAAAAAAAAACTACAGTATGAGAGAGAAAGCTTAAGACAGACCTAGTATGAGATAAAGAGCTAAAGTCAGATCTGGAGTCAGAGAAAAACTTAGACTCAGAAATCCAGAAAAAGAGCTAGAAATGAACTCAGAATGAGAGGGAACCGGGGATTGACTTAGAGTCACTCTAGAAAAGGTTCTGGAGTTCAATCTAGAGTCATAGAAACTGCTAGAGACAAACCTAGAACTAATGAAAGACCTAAAATCTGAGACAGAGTTAGAAACAGACCTCAAATCAAAGACAAAACAATGAGAAAGAAAGCCAAAGAAAAATCTAGAATCAGAGAAAGAACTAGAGAGGTGTCTAGAATCAGCGAAAACGCAAGACTCAAAGAAAGAGCTCAAAACAGACCTCAAATCAAAAAAAGAGCTAAGCAGAGAAAAGCCTAGAGCCTGACCCAGATTCAGAAATTCTTTGTGCCATCAGCAGGCTTGTGGTTAAGTCTAAAACAATTAGTCCTAGGTTCCCCTTTGACCTTCCCTTCATTGAACTGTCCACTGAACACTCACTTAGAATGAAACAAAAAGAAGGGTGCGGTGGCCCCTGCCTGTAACCTAAGGTACCTGAAAGGCTGGCAGATGGCTTGTGCCTAGGAGGTCTGAATTGATCCAACACCCACACTGTTTGCCTTTAGTATGATGAACCTTCCCAAGTAGGGGCCACCAGGTTACCTAAGGAAGGGCAAACTAGCAGTCAAAGCTCCCATGCCAATTGGTAGTAGAATTGGGCCCATCATTAATCACTGTACTTCCAGCCTACGTGAGAAGGAGACCCAGTCTTTAAAGTGTGTGGGAGGGATGGGGTTAACAAAAATCAGCTTATATTTATGTGGAATCCATACTAAAATACAAATAGCAAATAAACAAGATTTGGAAAGGGACCAGGAAACTCCCTAGGTGAGCGATACCAGTTCAGCAAGCAGCAATGAGATAGGGAAATGTCCAGTCGTTTCAGACTCTTCGTGGCCCCATTTGGGATTTTCTTGGCAAAGATACTAGATATTTGCCATTTCCTTCTCCAGCTCATTTTACAGATGAGGAACTGAGGTAAACAGGGTAAAGTGACTTGCCCAGGGTCACACATCTAGTGAATGTCTGAGGCCAGATTTGAGCTTGGGAAGATGAGTCTTCCTGACTCCGGGCCAGGAACCCTATACGCTATGGCACCACCTACCTGCCCAAGACAGGGAAAAGGAAGAAGTAAAGAGGGGATAATTTCACCATGTTCCACAGCTCAGGGAATAGATACTTCCATCAAACAGCAAACTGTGTAAGTAAATCACTCACTAAGAGAGTGATGGAGCCGAACAAAGACTCCAACCACTGATATGTATGTTCAGGGTTTTCAGGGCAATGGTAACTTTTACTTGCCATCAGCTCATTGCTGGTTGTGTCCACCCTGGGCCCCCCTATCCTCTATAGAGCCCCCAAATTCCCAGGATTTTCCCTCTCATGATCCTTCAGGCCCTCTTTCCAGCTGGTAATATCTGTACTTCCCATAAGCTGCTTTGCCAAGAAAAAGGGCTACAAATGAGAACTAGAATCAGAGAAAGAGCTAGGAATAAAACTAAAATCAGAGAAAATGCTTGAGCCAGATCTTCAAGTCATGGAGAGAAGTAGAAACACATTTAGAGTCAGAGATGGAGCTAGAGACAGACCTAGAATCAGAGAACGATCAAAATAGAGAAAAAGCCGGAGATTGACCTAGAGTCAGATACAGAGTTATAAAAAAGAATTCCAAGTATGAATGCAGATAAAAGCATGTTTTTTTTTAACTTTCCTTATTTTTCCTGGGTTTTTTTGTCTCTTTTCTTTCATAACATGACTAGTATGGAAATATGTTTTGCATGACTATACATGTAAAGCCTAGATCAAATTGCTTACCTTCTCAATGAAGGGAAAGGGAGAAGATTTGGAACTCAATTTTTTAAAAGAATGTTAAAAATTGTTTTTACATGTAATTGGGGGGAAAATATTAAGAATGTATAAGAAATACTCCAAATAGACTAGATCTAAATCAAAATCAATGAAAGAGGCAGAGACAGACCGATAATCAGAGAATTAGCCAGAGAAAAAGTTAAAGACAGACCTAAAATCAGAAAATGAATTAGAATTAGACCCAGAGCCAGAGGAAATTCTAGAGTCCAGTCCTGGATCAGAAGAAGAGCTAGATGCCAGGATAGAGCCAGTAAAAGAGTAAAAGGCAGATAGAAACAGAAAAGGAGTTCACTTAGAGAAAGTGTTGAAGAAAATGCTAATCAGAGAAATTAGAAATATACTTAGACTCAAAGAACATTCTGCAGTCATACAAAGAGCTAGAGTGAGCAAAAGATCTAGATATACCTGGAACCAAAATGCTAGAGAGAGATCTAGAATCCAAGAAACAGCTAGCCAGAGCAAACATCTAGAGGCAGACTTAAAATGAAAGAGCTAGAGTCAGAGTTAAGGATAACTCTATAGTTAGAGAGAATTCTAGAGTCAGAGACCAAGAGATTAATTTAGAACTACAGCAAGAGCTAAAAAAAAATCTTAGAGTCAGTTTATCAAATGCCAGCTTCAAATCTAGAATCAGATGAAAATCTAGAAATGATTTAAAGCCAAAGAAAGAATGATCAGACAGAGACAGAGAGAAGAGGGAAAGAGAGAAAGAGATGGGGTGAGAAAGGAAAAGAAAGATACAGAGAAAGGCACAGGGAGAGATGAAGAGAAACAAAGACATCAAAAGGGAGAGAAAGATGATGGAGAGATGGTGGAAGAGGGAGAGAGAGGAAGGGAAGGAGAGAGAGAAAAATAGAGACATGGGGAGAGAGAGTGAGAGGAAGAAAGAAGAAGACAAACAGAGAAAAGGAGGCAGAGAGAGAGACAGAGACAGAGAGAGATGGAAGGAGGGGGAGAGAAAGGTACAGAGAGAGACACGGGGAGAGACAGGGAAAGAAACAGGAAGAAAAAGAAAAAAGAGAGAGAAAGGGAGAGATGAGGGAGCAAGAGAGAGAAGAGAAAGAAGAGAAGAAGGAGGAGGAGGCAGAAGGAGGAGGAGGAGGACAGGATGACAGGTGGGGGAATTAGAAAAAGAGATTTATCCAGAACCAGAGAAATACCTTAAGAGGTAGTACTCCAGTAAAAAAAAAAATACGGATTGATCAATTGATTGACCTAAAATTTGAGATATAAACCAAGATAAAAAACAGAGCCAGACCTTGAGTCAGAGTAAAAAGTGGAGATAAAAGGATAGTGAGTGAAATCCAAAGTTCCAGGAGTATGAGCCATTTTAAGAGCTGAAACGCTGCCCAGACATGGTACTCAAAGGTGAAGGTAGGTGGGGAAGGATTTGTGGCTAGGATAGAACCTGAAGGCAGAACAAAGACTCAGAATTTATGACAGAGAGAGACTCTGATTGAGCTGGAGAAACAGCCAAGAGTCACAGGTGTCATAGCTAAATGGACAGAAAAAAGGGAGATGGAATGAGCTATTGCAACAGACAGCCTGCTTGGGTATGAAGGAAGAAAGAAAGGAAGGAAGGAAGGAAGGAAGGAAGGAAGGAAGGAAAGAAAGAAAGAAAGAAAGAAAGAAAGAAAGAAAGAAAGAAAGAAAGAAAGAAAGAAAGAAAGAAAGAAAGAAAGAAAGAAAGAAAGAAAGAAAGAAAAAGAATATTCTTCAGCAGTAAAGACTAACTCAGGGGTCTTTAACCTGGGGTCCAGGAATGCAGGGTTGTGGTTGTGGTTGTGGTTGTGGTTGTTGTTATTGTTGTTGTTGTTTTTAAATAAGGTGATAACTGGACTTCAATATCATTTGGTTTCCTTTGTAACCTTAAGTGTCTTGCTTTGTGCATTTAAAAAAACACTATTCTAAGAAGGAACCGTAGGCTTCACCAGACCACCAAAGGAGTCCATGACACAGAAAAAGTCAAGAATTCCTGCTCTAACTAGAGCCATAACTGAGATGAGGTCTTGAGGGCTGTGGCCCAGAGTGCTGAAATTTAGAGAACTGGAAGCAATTGTATGTTTTCAGCCAGCAGCAATAACTAAGTTTAGCACCTAGTTAACAAGAATAAGGAGTTAAAGCAGGAACCTACCAGACAGCGCTTTCACTCCAAGTCAATTCCATCCAGGCTACACCGCACCCTGCTCCCTTCCCCAGTAGCAGCCTCCCAGTGTCTCAGGGTCTGTATCTCTCCATTACAATGCAGTCTCTTAGGTTCTCTCCCCACCATGAGGCTTTTTGTCCTGATGTGTCCACACCTCCTTCCCACCTCCACCTCCTCTGGCCCATTTAATTTGTCTTTAAAAACTGATCCAAAGATACCTTTCCTGTTGCCTACCCGTGGACAGTTTCCCTCACAGCACTCTCTCCAGGTGTTAGAATTGCTAGTGTTGGACCTAAACCACAAGACAGAAGGAAGTCCTAAGAGCTGCCTCTCCTCCCTCACCCATACCTTTAAGAAAAGGATAGACACAGGAAGGTATAGAACTATTATTCTAAAGGCAGGTGAATTCTAAGCCCACTCTTAAAGGGTCAGTAGATTTATGCACAAAACAAGGATGTGTCGTATTTCATGTTCACCGCTGCCCCGAGCCTTGGCAGGGGAAGAATTGGGGTCGGGGCCCCCAGAGGTGAGTCTGCCTTCAGAGACATCCAGAGGAGCCCAGACACTTACATAGCACTCTGAGGCTAATGGGGGCTGAGGAGGCATGCCCCAAGGACCCCTCAGCATGACATTGGTACACCCCAGCATGGTTGCTGGACACCTGAGAGAACATGAGGGTGGGCTCCGGACCCTCTTGCAACCATCGGGAATTCCAGGACCATGTGTAGGTGGTGTTCTCTTGGGCCTGGCTGGTCAACAGACAGGTCATGTTGAGGGAGTCTCCTTCATGAATTTCCAAGCCTGGCTCCACCATGATGCGAAGACCTGAGGAACAGTCCAATGATAGCAATAGTAACAACAATGACACAGTTTCAGTACGCCGATAGAAGATGAGCTTACACTCCAAAACTTTTATTCAACTGCAATAACACAAACGACAATTATAGGATAATGACCTGCCCTGGACAAGTTCCTACTTCAATTCCCTCAAAAATAATAGATGAGAACAAGAAATAATAAATAACAATAACAATGATAATAATTTTACAATGCTTTAAAATTTGCAGGGTTTACCTAGCTTATTTCATTTAAATCTCGGAATTACCTTCCAAGGTAGCTAATATAGGTATTATTATTCCCACTTTACAAAGGAGAAAACTGAGGTACTGAGAAGTTTAATTTAATCTTTAAGAATCAAAAAAAGATGTCTACATGTCTCCTCCAAGGATGGAATCATCATCCTTCCTTCCCCAAAAACACACCCCATCCTGCCTTCTGAGACAGGAAATATTCTGTCCATTCTTGTGTAGTTTAACATTTCATTATGCCCATCCTCTGTTCACCTCTACATGACTATTTCACCCTATAATCTCCCAGACAATAGGAACTAAGCATCTCTTCTCTCAGACTAGAGTTTCAAGAGAGTCAGGGCCCAAATAGAGGCTCCCTGAGGGCAGAGACCATGACTGTCACATGAGACCAAAGCCTCTCAGGGGCTATGTCTCTCGCATCGGACCATGGGCTGTTTCTCTCATCAGGACAAGGTTCCTCTCTCTCTCTCCTCTCTCCTCTTTCTCCCCCTCTCCCCCACTTTCCCTTATTCTCTCTCTCTCTCTCTCTCTCTCTCTCTCTCTCTCTCTC